TCAAGGACGTTTTGGCTGTGTGAGGGACCCAGGTGAGTGGGGGGACAGCATCTGAGGACAGGGCAGCATGTGGACCACCCACTCTGCTCCCAGGTCCTCTCAATGGGAGAATTTTAAGAATTATTGGCCTCACTGGGGCACCTGGGTGGGTCAGGCAGTTAAGTGTCCCACTTTGGCTGAGGTCACGATCTCACGGTTCATGAGTTTGAGCCCCACCATGGGCTCTGGGCTGACAGGTCAGAGCTTGGAGACTGCTATGGATTCTGTGTCTCCCTCTCTCTCTGCCCCTCCCCTGCTCGCCCTCTGTCTCTGTCTCTCAGGAAATGAATAAACATTAAAAAAAATAATAATTATTGGCCTTACCATCTTCCTCTTGGGAAAGCCAAATCTCATTTTTCTCTATAGTTTGCTGTTTTTATGGAGGTGGTACTGAATAGCTGGGAAATAATGTTTATATACATTGCACATGTGGTCATATATCAGATCAATCATGTATTAGGATTTATTGCACATAAATCATATATAAGGATAATATTTCCCTTCTTATTTCATAACAACAGATACAAATTATATTCCCAACACTTTTTTTGTGCGACCTTCTTGACTTTAAATGTTAATCTTCTTATCTCTGTACTTTAGGTAGAATTCGTTGTTTCTTCCTGTGTTACCTGGTATTTTTCATGGAGACATTATAGCATGCATACCGTTTAATTATAGTTCATTTGAAAGTATGTCTCTTTCAAACAAGTTATTTGGATCACATTCCTTATCTGTATGCCCAGCAGAGTGGCTGACACATATCATTTAGTCCCATCATATGTTAAATAAATGTTGACTTAAGGTCAAAACAGTTTTGATTTATAGCCATATCAGTTTAGGAAAAAAATGCCCATTGGTCTTGATTGTCAACAATGGTGGTAGAACGGATCTGATTTTTGTGTTACCTGTCTTAGAAACATTTGTGTTTTTTTTTTAAGTTTATTTATTTATTTTGAGGTGGGGGGAGGAGCAGAGAGCGAGGGAGAGAGAATCCCAAGCAGACTGCATGTTGTCCTCACAGAGCCAAATGCAAGGCTCAGTCTCACCAACAGTAAGACCATGACCTGCGCTGAAATCAAGAGCAGATGTGTACCTGACTGAGCCACCCAGGCACCCCACATTTCTGATTTTGGTCGGAGGAGTGAAGCGTTGTGTAAGAAAACAGCACAAAACACGTTGGTGGCTATTGTAGTCTATTTGGACTGCTGTAACAGAATATTATAGGCAGGGTGGCTTATAAACAACAGAAATTCATTTCTCATAGTTCTGGAGGTTGGGAAGTTCAAGATCAAGATGGCAGTGGACTTAGTGAGTGCCTGCTTCCTGATTCATAGAGAGCCATCTTTTTGTTGTGTCCTCACCAGGAGGGAGAAACAAGGGAGCCCTTTGGGGTCTCTTTTATAAGGGCACTGATCCCATTCATGAGGGTTCCACTCTCATGACCTAAGAACCCCTCAATGGTACTATCTCCAAATACCAACCATCACAGTGGGGATTAGATTTCAACATATTAATTTTAGGGGGCCACATTCAGCCTATAGCAGTGGGTAAGATTTATGCTTCTGCAATTCTAAGTTAAACAGACTTGGTGACACCAGCATGGATGTAAAGCAGGAAAGAAGGTCTAGAATGAGCCTAACTTTCTGGCTTAGGTGTTGGGGAGGAAGTTGGCAATACTGGAGAGAACAGTCTGTAGGGTGAGACAGGGAAAATGGGTGAGCAGACTTGAATGCATTCAGTCTGACTCTGAACAAGCATCGGTACAGAACTGAATTGGGCCTTTCCGAGTTACAAAGAAACCCTTAAGTTATATTTGTCTCAGATGGCTGAGTCTTTAATGCAACTACATGGAAGCAAAGTGTCCAATCTCGTTCCAACTGAAAAGCCAGCTCTATCAGCACCATTGAGCATCAGAGATAAATAAGGAAAATAGGCAACAAGAGTACTAAGGAATTAGTGCAGTTTGAAAAGCAATTCAGATTTGTAAGAAAGATTTGATATGTTAATTATGAGAAACCAGGACTCCTTTTGTGCCTTGGAAATCACCCAAGTTACCTCTGTGACATTTTTTTTTTTCAGTAGCTTAGGTAAATTATTTTATTTTATTTTATTTTTTAATTTACATCCAAGTTAGTTAGCATATAGTGCAATAATGATTTCAGGAGTAAATTCCTTACTGCCCCTTGCCCATTTAGCCCATCCCCTCTTCCACAACCCCTCCAGTAACCCTCTGTTCTCCATATTTAAGAGTTTCTTAGGTTTTGTCCCCCTCCTGTTTTTATATTATTTTTGCTTCCCTTCCCTTATGTTCATCTGTTCTGTGTCTTAAAGTCCTCATATGAATGAAGTCATATGATATTTGTCTTTCTCTGCCTAACTAATTTTACTTAGTACAATACCTTCTAGTTCAATCCACGTAGTTGCAAATGGCAATATTTCATTCTTTTCAATTGCAAGTAATACTCCATTGTATATATATATACCACATCTTCTTTATCCATTCATCCATCGATGGACATTTGGGCTCTTTCCATACTTTGGCTATTGTTGATAGTGCTGCTATAAACATTGGGGTGCATGTCTCCCTTTGAAACAGCACACCTGTATCCCTAGGAAAAATACCTAGTAGTGCAATTGCTGGGTCATCAGGTAGTTTTAATTTTTGAGGAACCTCCATACTATTTTCCAGAGTGGCTGGCTGCACCAGTTTGTATTCCCACCAACAGTGCAAAAGAGATTCTCTCTCTCCGCATCCTTGCCGACATCTGTTGGTAATAGCCATTCTGACAGGTGTGAGGTGGTATCTCATTGTGGTTTTGATTTGTATTTCTCTGATGATGAGTGATGTTGAGTATTTTCTTATGTGTCGGTTGGCCATCTGGATGTCTTCTTTGGAGAAGTATCTATTCATGGCTTTTGCCCACTTCACTGGATTATTTATTTTTTGGGTGTTGAGTTTGATAATTTATAGATTTTGGATACTAACCCTTTATCTGATATGTCATTTGCAAATATCTTCTCCCCTTCTGTCGGTTGCCTTTTAGTTTTGCTGATTGTTTCCTTCACTGTGCAGAAGCTTTTTATTTTGATGAGGTCCCAGTAGTTCATTTTTGCGTTTGTTTCCCTTGCCTCAAGAGATGTGTTGAATAAGAAGTTGCTGCAGCCTAGGTCAAAGAGGTTTTTGCCTGCTTTCTCCTCTAGGATTTTGATGGCTTCCTCTCTTACGTTTAGGTCTTTCATCCATTTTGAGTGTATTTTTGTGTATGGTGTAAGAAAGTGATCCAGGTTCATTTTTCTGCATGTTGCTGGCCAGTTTTCCCAGCACCACTTGCTGAAGAGACTGCATTTATTCCATTGGCTATTCTTTCCTGCCAGCCAGATCCAACAAACATTAAAAAAATTATTCACCACGACCAAGTGGGAGTTATACCTGGGATGCAGGGCTGGTTCAATATCCTCAAAACAATCAATGTGACTCATCACATCAATAAAAGAAAGGACAAGAACCATATGATCCTCCCAACAGATGCAGAGAAAGCATTTGACAAAATACAGCATCCTTTCTTGATAAAAACCCTCAAGAAAGTAGGGGTAGAAGGATCATACCTTGAGGTCATAAAAGCCGCATATGAAAGACCCCATGCTAATATCATCCTCAATGGGGAAAAACTGAGAGCTTTCCCCCTAAGTTTAGGAAAGACAGGGATGTCCACTCTTGCCACTGTTATTCAATGTAGTATTTGAAGTCTTACCCTCAGCAATCAGACGACACAAACATGTAAAGGGTATCCAAATTGGCCAGGAGGAGGTCAAACTTTCACTCTTCGCAGATGACATGATATTCTATATGGAAAACCCAAAAGACTCCACCAAAAAACTGCTAGAACTGATCCATGAGTTCAGCAAAGTTGCAGGATATAAAATGAATTGCACACAAATCAGTTGCGTTCCTATACACCAACAATGAAGCAACAGAGAAATCGAGGAATCGATCCCATTTACAATTGCACCAAAACCCATAAAATACCTAGGAATAATTCTAACCAAAGAGGTGAAAAACCTATATGCTGAAGACTATAGAAAGCTTATGAAAGAAATTGAAGAAGACACCAAAAAATGGAAAAATATTCCATGCTCCTGGGTAGGAAGAACAAATATTGTTAAAATATCAATACTACCCAAAGCAATCTACATATTAAATGCAACCGCTATCAAAATAACACCAGCGTTTTTCACAGAGCTAGAACAAACAATCCTAAAATTTGTACGGAACCAGAAAAGACCCCGAATAGCCAAAGCAATCTTGAAAAAGAAAACCAAAGCAGGAGGCATCACAATCCCGGACTTCAAGCTATACTCCAAAGCTGTAATCATCAAGACAGTATGGTACTGGCACAAGAACAGACACTCAGATCAATGGAACAGAATAGAGAACCCAGAAAGGGACCCACAAATGTATGGCCAACTAATCTTTGATATTTTTTTTCTTAATTAAAGAAAAATTAGGTTCACAAGAGGGCCAGGAAACCAAGGGTTTTCACCTGTGTCCACTTCTCTCTCCATTGTTTTACCTTTCTTCATGCTTTGTGGCCTCTCTTTGCGTACTCTACATTCCTCTCTTTCTTGGCCAGCAGTGTCTGTATCTTCTTAGACCCTGACTCCTCAAAACTTCGTCATGTACAGGGCCCTCTTTGGCTTTCTTTCTACCTCATGGGATACTCGGCCTTCATCTCTCTGGATAAACAGTGTTATTTTTTGTTCTCCCGGTCCCACAATTCTGTTCTTTTTTAACTTTTTTAATGTTTATTTATTTGAGAGAGAGAACGTGAGCTGGTGAGGGGCAGAGAGAGGGAGACACAGAATCTGAAGCAGGCTCCAGGCTCTGAGCTGTCAGCACAGAGCCCGACCCGGGGCTCGAACCCACGGACTGTGAGATCATGACCCGAGCGAAGTTGGGCGCTTAACCGACTGAGCCACCCAGGTGCCCCTCACGGTCCCATGATTCTTAGGAGAGAATGCCATTGTCTGTTTTGTTTTTTAAAGTCGCAGTGCGTGGGCAGGGTCACTGGCAGGTGTGCGGGTGAGGCATAGTGCAGAAAACAAATCTCACTTAAAACATCACCTGGAGACATGCTGTGATCCTTGCAATCCCAATAATTGGATATTTCCCTAGCTACTTCCCCTGTAGAAAGAAGGACTTCTATCACAATAGTGCTTTTGTCATAATTTTTTATATAGCGAGCAGAATAAGCTCTGAGTGGAGGTTGTTCATTCTTAACATTTCTGGATTCCTTTTCCAGAACTCATGTAATACTTTTATGTTGTCACCAAATATTTATTGCTTACAATCCAGGCCTTATTTCCTGCCTGACTTAGGTGCAGTAGGACGTAGAAGCCACCAGGTGTCAGTGTTGCAGGTAACATTTCAAATTCCCCAGGTTGCATCTGATCCTGCCGGTGCAAATATTTTAGTAACAGAGGACATGCTCCGAGGAATCCCATAGACTGTCCCTCCTGCCAGGAAGCCGCAGTGAACAGGTGAGTTGGCAGTTTACCTTTAATGATTTTCAGAGAAAGAACGTTTCTAGAACACCCATTTCTGATGGCCACTTGCAAAGACAGTCACCAAAACGAGCTTGCCTCTGAGGTCCTTACCCGTGGAACATCTATGAATCTGAGATTCTGAAGCCAAATGGTTGTGGTCTCTGCCTGCCACTCACCCTTTGTGTGCTTTTGCTTTTGTCAAGATCGAATCATTTTCGTGAATGGTGTATTATCCTTCAAAATAGCAGAATCCCGAATAGAAATGTTAAGAAAACCTCAAGGGATGGTAAAGGTTTGCTGTGTATGCAGATGACTTCCCTTGCTTGGCTCAGGGGGCTGAGGCTAAGGGGCTGAGGGCTTCAGCTCCTCCAGCATGGCCACCTCTTTGCTGGCTTCAGTTTAACTCAACTCTGGGATGGTCACGTTAGTGTGGAAGGTGGGCATTAATTGTGGGGTCACATCCCTTCTCACCAGGTACTCCTTCGTACGTTGTCTTTTTCTCTCTTTTCTTCTTCTTGTCCTGTGTTCTCCTCAGTTTCCCTTGCCCCACTCAATTGTTCTTTCATCTTTGCCCATCTTTCTCAGTGCCTCTGAAGGCATGTCTTAGCAGCCTCCGGAGAAACTGGTGCTCGGGGTCGCTAAGCATCTGACTTTGGCTCAGGTCATGATCTCACGATCCATGGGTTCAAGCCCCACTTCTCACTCTCTTTCTCTCTCTCCCTCTCCCCACCCGCCTTTCTTTCTGCCCCTTGCTCACTTGTATCCTCTCTCTCTCTCTCAAAAAACAAAAAAAAAGAAAAAAGAAAAAGAAAAGAAAAGAGATTGGTACTCCAGAAGGGATAGTTCTGGAGCTGTTTCTTGTCTCTGCTCCTAATACGCTAGACCACAGGCAGAGAAGTCCCAGCTAGTGAAAACGGTTGGCCGATGAGGAAAGTAGAATCTAAGAGTACCATTGGATGGACACATAGGCGAAGAGGCATGGCTGACCCAGGCCAGTGCTTCTCAAAGTGGGTTCCGTGGAACACCACCCCTCAAGCTGTGGCACCGAAAAAGCAGTTCCTCACACCAGTAATCTGAGCAATGCCGCAGCCCCAATCCTCTTTTGGGGAGGTTTACAACATACATGGGGCAGTATAAAGATGCCAATATGCATTCCAGCAAGGAAACTAGTTTAACTGTTCTCAGCGCTCTCTAATTTGACCCAGAACCCATTTGCTGGCGTCGCTGATTGTGTGCACCACCTGCACGCGGTCCCCTGCGGGATATACTTTGGGGACTATTCCCGCTGTGGGAAAGTTCTGCAAGTCCTCTCTTAGCAAGGGAGTTAAAATTGAATGCTGCTCCTGGAATAGGCTCAGGCTTTGATTTGATTTTCGTATTCCGAGATGGCATATTTAAAGCAAATAGAATAATATACTATAGGCGATATCACTTTTCTATGATGTCATTTACATTCCTAAAAATAAACACTAAATCACTGCCAAAATTGTAAGACTTTCTTCTCTTTGGAGGAATTTTCTCACTGCTTGAATTCATTACAGCTTTAGATCATTTAGTTTAATATTTATCGAGTGCTCACTGAATGGACGCCCAGTGCTGTCTGACGGATGCAAAGTCAAGGCACAGTTCTTGCTCCAAAGGAAACCTAGGGAGGATCTTACAGTAATCTTCTATTACTTAACTCTTATACTCTGCTGTTTTTGATACTTCTTCAATGAGATGTCACTCACGGTGTGCTTACCGCGGTGCCTAGCATAGGGTAAGCTTTAAGTAAATTATGGTAGGCGTTATTAGCTGTTTAGTTAAATGCTTTGAGTTGAAGAGAACGTTATGGATAATTTGTAATTTCAAATTTCTTCTCCTTGTTGCTTAGGAACACTAAAAAACAAAACACAGATAGGTGGCTTTTGATCTTGTGGTCCAGGTTCTCTTTAGAATATGTAACATTGTGCCCTAGAACTGTACAAAGCACCCCTTCCCACCCCTACCTCTGTCTTCCCTAAACTCAGACAATGCGCCTGCTTTTGCGGGGTGGGGGGGTGGGGGGGAGAAATCTCTACAATCACCTCATTTGCCATAGTTCCATTGGCATTGAAACCAAGTGGAAGTTTGGTTTTATTGTTGGGGATGGGTCAGTGGAGTGACCCAAGCAGATCAGACTTTCCCTCACTCTGTCACTTGGGCTCACCACCTCTCCAAGGTAATCAGTGCTGTTTTCTCAGGTTTTGCTTGAGTTCAAGATCCAGGCTATGCCATTTCACAAGTATACTGTCCTTTTGCATTGACGGTGGATATGGGGTTCCCCTCATCTGGGGTTATACAAGACATAAACAATGACTTCATCCCCTTGCCTCTCTCCTCGTTGTGCCCTCAAGTCTAGGAGCAGGATAAGAGTAAGTGAGGGTCCTCAAAGACTGTGCTTACGGGCCCGTACCAAGCCTCCCACCCTGGTCCACTCTGATATTTAGCCACAGCATACACCTGGAAGCTATGGCTCAGGATTCCTGGTCTTTCCAGGAGATAGCCCTCCATATCAGTCTTGTTGGAACCAAAGGTGATCATTGTTTTCTTGCTGCTTTTTGGTTGAAAGTCAGAGAAAGCCGATGAATGCTTATTGGATAATTGCCCTCTTTATGTTGCCCCTTGAAATAATGTAACTTCTTAGAAATGGTCTCTTCTTTGAGAAGAAACATTTGTAAGACGTTGGCAACTTCTTTGTAGATAGATGTATGATTCCAAAAAGGCATATTCCCACTTGGGACAAAAGCCAACTTCCAGTATCAGTTGAAGTTTAGCTTATGCACAGGATGAACAAATTCTAAATATAATTTAAGAAAAATTCTTTTCAAAGCTTCTCCTTGATTTATGGACCTTATAAATATGACTGTGGGAAGATAGCACGTAGGATTTGGGGATTTATTTTGTGTGTTTGCCATGAGGATGAAATAGAGTTTTGGAATTATTGAGGCCAGACGCAAAGGGAAATTAAATAAGCTCTGTGGATGAAAAGATATTTTTTAAAAGTGCCCTATAAGACATATCAGGTAATAAAGCACCAGGGCCAGATGGATACACAGCTGTATTATACAGAACATCCAGTCATAAATTACTTCCAGTTTTAGAAGAGGTTTATAAACATGCTCCAGGAACCAAAGAAACTTCCCCTTGTTTTAGTTTCGCTGGCAAGAAAAAAGAAATGCACGGGCTATAAACTTAATTTTATTCCTTAACTCTAAGTAAAAAGCTATGACTGTTAGATTTATAAAGCTATTAAGCAGTACATTTGCCTGGATCAAGTGGATTTATTCTATGGAAGTTTTCTGGAAAATAATATTTACTATTTAGTTAATATTACAAATACAGTACCAGATAATTGAAAAATAGGTATGGATAAGGCCTTTACCTAGTGAATTGATGAGCTGAATAAAAGCACTCATTTCAGAGAAATGGTCATAGAAGGTTTTTTGTAGAAATTTCAGGCATAATAAATACAACTTTCTCATTTTTAGGAATATATCCTTAGAATAATCATGTCTCTATTAAACTAATATCATACTTACTTCCTAAGGCATAGTTTGAAATAGCAGAAAAGCCAGAAAAGACCTTTATGCCCAACACCAGGCTTAGGAAATTATGGTACCTTCATTCAATGGATACTATGCAGTTATTGCAAATGATTTAGAATATTTCATACCAGAAAGATGGCCATCATATTTTAAGTGGGAACCATGGGCCAAAGCAGTCTTTGTGGTCAAGCGGCTCAGCTCCGGTGTGAGAGCAGGAGAGACGCAACAGGCAAGGCAAGGGCTCCCATTTGCTTGGAAGCCTCATATCTCACAGTAGTTAATTTTTTTTAAAGTTTATTTTGAGAGAGGGCACATGCAAGAGTGTGAGCAAGTGGGGGGGGGGGCGTGGGGGCTGAGAGAGAAGGAAAGAGAGAATCCCAAGCAGCGCCCAACACAGGGCTAGATCTCATGGGCACTGAGATAATGACCTGAGCTGAAATCAAGAGTTGGACACTTAACCCACTGAGCTACCCAGGTGCCCTGCCAATTTTTTTTTTTTTTTTTTTTTTTTTAGTAACAGCTTGATAGGCTTCTAGGGCCTCTAAGGGATGTTCCAGTTACCAGAGTCACCACACTCAGGGGTACCCACAGCTCCCTTGTCTGATCAAGTATTTAAAGCTCATTTCCAGTCTTCCCTGATCCAGATGAATTTTACCAGCCAAGGGTCATCCTAATCATTAAGCAACATGGCTTAATGCTATAGACTAAATATCTGTGTCATCCCCTCCCCCCAAATCATATATTGAAATCCTGTCCTCAAGATGATGCCTTGGGGAGAGGAGATTAGGTTATGCAGGCAGAGCCCTCATGCATGGAAGTAATTCCCTTATAAAAGAAGACTGAGAAAGCTCCCTTGTTCCCTCCCCGACGTGAGGTTACAGCAAGGTGGTTTAGGAAGTGACCCTCATCAGACTCTGCTAGTACCTTGATCTTGGACTTTCCAGCCTCCAGAACTGTCAGAAACGAGTTTCTTTGTTTATAAGCACTCAGTCCAGGCTATCTTTGTTATAGAAGCCTGAATGGACTGACACTTAGTGTCACAGTTAACCTTCCACCTGTTGAGGATTCAGGTGTTTAGGTGGTCAGTTTAAGACAGTGAGCCAAACTGAGGGTGACAGCCCAACCTCAACCTTTATTTACTCAGTGCAAGCAAGACACCAAAAGAGGCACCTGCCTCCCAGTGTTGTATCTCCCTCATGGAGTGAGACTCCTTACCTTTATTAGGTCTCCAGAAGGTAGAGCTAGAATGTTAACTGAAGGGCCAATTTTCGTAGATAAGGATTATTAGCCCTTTACCTATAGTATTTGTTATATTAACCCTTTTTATTTACTTTCTGGGTCTTTTGTCCCTTTGGATTGTAGTTACTTTCATGTGTCTTTGTCTTTTATTTGTTCAGCGACTTGGCTGGAAGTTTCTGTGCTCCGGGG